ACGACATCTATGATTTATAATTTTGTTCCATTTTTCAACCCATAATTCAAATTCTTATTCCCATGTTCCTCGAAATATGAATATATGAACGAAAACATTGCCATAACATTGCAGTTCTGTATACCTACTTATTAGTTATTAGCTACTGTACTTCAAATAAAATACAGAATATATCACACTGAAGTGAAGTGTCGGTGCCAAATTTTCATATCAGTACTGTACGAATTTAAACGAGAGATCTTTTGGATAAAAACATAATGACAAGAAGTTTTCAAGGAAAAACAGCACAGGCGGACTTTCTATCAACAATTATCTTGACTATAACGATTTGCCCTGTACAAAAATGTTTTTGGTACCATAGACATAGGGTTCTATTCCCATGTTACGTCAGCCTTATTTTAGCTAACATAAATTGGCTAATTGACAGTAATGCATTTTGGAGGATTGGAGCACAATAGCACAATGAAAAGGAAAAAAATGTTCTATGCCAAACTGCCAAAGATGAATGTCAATCAAGGAATTATACCGTTAGCTGAGACTCAGTTCTGGATGCAGAAACAATAATGTGGTGACGGGTTTCAAGCAGCATTATGAGGCCGTCTAATATTTGCCAATCAAATATTTATGCTGATGCATGCTGGAGCGGAGTTCCCCACCTTTTTTCTCCACTCGACGAATTTTTTTCACAATTCATTTCGACTGAAGAACCCTTGTGCTCATATGAAGCCTTCAACTAGCTTTGATAATCGTCAAAGGGATCTTTCATTGCAACCACAAATAACATTAATCAAAGGAGATGAAAAGGACCCAGTCGATTTTGACACCCAACTTTTTTGGCGCCTCGTGAACAAAAACAATATCGTCTGCGAATTTAAAACACTCATTTTATATTTATAACGCCCCATTTCTTCAGAATCGGAAGAGTGAATACGTTAAATAAGCTCTTATTGACTCTTATCTAGGCTTCAGTCAACAGGATGTCGTTTCGAACTTTTCGGGTGAAAATCAAGATAACCCTTATGTAGTACGTGCAACCGAAAATCTTGTTAAACATGCTTGACTGAATTGCAGAATATCGCCGTCAATAAGATTGAGTTGGTCAGATCAGATGCAATCGTGCACTTCGCCTGCAAATCTAAGACGCACCCACTGAAAAAACAGGTTCAGGTAAAAGCGCGTTCGTCGTAGTCTGCGCAGAAATATGTTAGCGGTTTTTATGATGGTTGAGTAGTTTGTGTTGGTATTAGAAGGCTCATAAGTACCGTCGTTTCTCGATCTTACTCCATCCTCTCGGGATGCTAAACGATTTCGCTCATGACGAATCCCACACGCGCGGGGCTTATACCGGAGTCATCGATCAGAAACCAGTCTCGCATTACAACACCCGCAGCGCCATTTCACGCGGTGTCGCGTTCCTGCGCGAACACAGAACAGTTCATCAGAGGATGAGAGCGCAAGAGACAATAAGATTAAAAAATAAAAAAAAAGAACCTAGAAAGAGCGAGAGAAACAAACGCGAGGACCAATGAGTTGAAACCCTAGTCCGTCGCTTCACGCGCGGGAAATATCAGCGTCGGGCTCTCGCACCAAGCTCGGAATATATCCCGAACCTGATCCCTCCGGGTTGGCAATATAACCGCGATGTGCTTGTCAATCACACGGTATTCGGCGCGAGGAGAGAGGAACTCCCGAAGGCCTCGTTAGGCTCGAGGGTGTGGCGCTATAGCTGTTAGCGTGGCCGTAGTGAATGAGAGTTTTGTGTAGCGTGAGCAGAAGTTACGAGAAAAAGGCAATTATTGGTTAGTACAAGGAATAGCTGGGATAAAAGAGTACTTGCACGAGAAGCAAATGAAACTGGAGCACCGAGACGCGTGCTGTCGATAATATTTCATGCGTATGCGGTCTGTGATCATCGGCTTTCATGGTAATTGGAGTGAAAGAAAATGCTAATTAGAAAACGCAGGGATATTATCTTTCATTCCGAATAATGGATCTACCGAGACTATCGACTAGCACGGGAGCATCAGGACTTTTCTTAGGCTCTTTTCCCGAACGGGTTCCTGAGGCTAACAAGAGTAACATTCGAATCAAAATACTGTACCTCTTCAAAGCAGAGATTCAAAGTTTTTTTGACGTTGCTCCATTGTAATTTTGTATCAACCAAAATTAGTGGTAGAAAGGTAGCGATACGTCTGTCGCTTAGCTGAGCTTTAGGTTAAATCAAATAAAATACTGTATAGTAATTACCAGTCAAGTTACGTCACGGTAGGAGTCAGGTAAGTCCATTCAGGTGTTCACACCTTTTCTGGGTCAATAGGGTTTATCAGACATGAAGTTCTTCAAATGTCATTGTATAGGTTGCGGTAGTTGATTCAGCTAGAATCAGTTTCCTGGGTGAGAATTGAAAGGTTATTCAAGAGCAGTTGAGTAAGTTACATCTTGAGTTAGATAATGTTCATCGGGTTTTGGATACACGCATAATATGCCAACTCAGGTTCTTCAGGTGAAAATTCATCACTCGGAGTACGATCTATTGGCTGTTCAACTCGGTTAATTAGGTTTGAATGTCAGGTCAGGAGCTGTGGGTTAGATAAGATAAATAACTTAATCATACGGTTACATATTTTTTTTTTAAAACCATAGCAGCACGTCGGAAAACTACCCAAGAAATTAAAAGGCAGATTTACGAATATCTTTCCCAATACTTCCCACACTTTTCTGATGTGCATGTAGAATTTGTACCAAATGGATTCAAAATCGGCTGAAAGTCTCACGCTAATTTTTTGCCTTCTTTTTCTTTCCCAGGGACCAAAGAAAGCGGCTCAGACGCGATACCGACGAACTTCATGTCATACCTCGCCAACGAACGCATGCGGAAACGGCGAGCATTCGCAGATAAGGAACTCGAGGAGGCCATGATGAAGAAGGAAAAAGAGGCCGAAGTGCTCGAACTCCAGCTCACACTTCAACTCCAAGCAGCAGCCGGGGCCCCGAATCCCATCGTTCCAACAACAAATGAATCCAACGATCCCGTGCCATCAATGCTGCTTCAAACATCAAATCTACAGGCCTCGGCTCCTCCGTCGCGCACACAGTCCTTACCGGCAGATCTGCTCTATCGGCAATTCTGGGCACCGTTTTATTGGTCTTATGCGGGGCATTCCCTTTTCCCCAGGCCTAGTACCACTGATATCGAATCTCCAACGTGGATTGAAAAAGAATCCAGAGCCTTGACGCCGCCTGTGGAAAAATTCGAAAAGCCCAAGCACAACTTTTCCGTCGAACGTCTCCTTGCAAAATCGTGACACCATGCAACCAATTCGTGCCTGCAACGCGCGACTGTATTTCAAACGATGAAACTAGTCACTTTGCTGGATGAAAATAAAGCGTTNTAAAAGTGGCGCAAACGAAAAACATGAGGACGTATATCCAGCATTTACACGCATTCGCTCTGTACCCCGCAAGGACGTTCGATTCCTTTTGAAGTTGATGCATATTAGTCTCTGCCTGCACATTCGTCACGTCAAGCACCTGCGAATATTCGAAGCATTAAAAAATTAGCAAATAACGATTCCGACGAAGGAAAAAAAAAGGTATCTGTAACGATGACTCAGGAACTTCACAAGTTCCGAGAATCACAACCAATACTTATTCTAGTGTGATACAAAACCTGAAACGTCATGTTTCTCAAAACTGGTTTCACTAGTATTGCAGTTATACTGTAGATCCATATACACAAGTCTAGTATTTTCATTTTATTTTGATTCACAAAAAAAGGGTCTCCTGTTTTCCGCCTGCAAGGGATGCTCACATCAGTCGGTCTTCAGCCGCATAAATGAGTCGTTAAAATAAACAACAACTTTGAACGACTTCAAAAGTAATACAAAAATAAATAAAAGTAGGATGATTAAGACACACATCTTTATCCTTGCAGATGATAGCTTTCGCCGCCTGAGACTGTTCTTTCAAGCTTTGCGCCAAATGAAGCATCTCTTCGGCCACACGATCTTGTTCCGCTTGATGCGCACTCAGAATGGCGTCCACATCATTCGACATCCCGGCGTTGTGGCGATTTCGTAGCCCAGTTTCCGGGAACGGATCTCCTATCAGCTCTCGTCTCGCACTCTCCTCCAACGTCGCCCGTAACGTGCTTTCAATCACTCGACCAGTAGGGGTATCCGGCGCTTGTTGCACTCCGCGCGGAGAAAAGTGCCCAGAAGACATCACCAGGGACGAATCGGTCAACGGGGATAGCTTTTTCGGCGAATGGTCGTCGTCGTCGCATGCAGACGCTGATGAAAAAGCTCCGACGTAAACAGGACACACGCTCCTTAGGTACTTGACTTTTTTCTCATTTTCCTTGAGAACGTCGGCATCCACGCTGTCAACAATGTAGAGCTCTCTTGGGTTATTACCATGTCCTTTAGGCACTCAAATTTCTTCAGGCAAGAGTGAGAATCCTCTAGAGCAGCATTAGGATCAATAAGATTTACGGCAAAACTCTCTTTATTTGCTAAAAATTGTCTTCTATCAGATCCAGACTTCATTTTTGATTAACCGTAACATTCTCTACACTCCAGGCAAATCTTTCCTCTCCAATGTTCTGGCCTTTCTTTCGAAGTACTGAACAAACATTGGTTCAATATTGAGATTCTTATGTAAAGCTTGAATAGAAACTTATTTTCCGGGCTCCATTCAAAGCTCCTGATGACATACAGTACTGATACTTTTGTGGTACCATGTAAATTGCTCAGATAGTTATCTGTACATCGGATACTCACGATGCGCCTTTCTTCATTTCTTCCAGCAACCCTTCAAGCGTACCAATATACTGAAAAAAGCAAAATATCGTGAAAAGAAACCACAACTGCAAGGATTAATTACGCCCACCTTGCTCAGTCTCCATGACGGAAATACGTCGGCTTCTTCGGAATTAATTTCGATCGCTTTCACGAACTTCGCTGTGTGAGCTTCACACACCTTGAGCAAGCGACGAAAATTTATTTCAAATCGGGAGTTCCCGAGACCCGAGCGGTTACGATTATTCTGGTCAGCCTCCGGCATCTGGGACCAAGGAAATATAAAATTCAACTCGGCGAAGTACTTGACATTATCCGAAAGAAGGATATAACGCACTCCAAATGATACGTGCAATTCATAATCTTCATTTCAAACCTACAACCGACGTCGAGAGAACTTTCAAAAAAAAAAATTGCGAGAGCGACAAAACTTCAGAGCCGTGAAAGCATCCTCGGACTTGAATAGGCATAACCATAAAAGAAATTGATTAATTCATCGCGCATATCGTGGAACTGGAATGTTGCACCCTGAGCACTCACAGATGCAGTCACTAGGCAAAATAATACAATAAAATTTGCGCGCTGTACAACGAAACTCGAATATTCAACGTAAATGTACTGTATTCCAGAATAACGAGTGCTGCCAGCACGCGAAGCACATCACACGTGCACACGTGAACCTCAAAATAACAATTCACACGTTCAGTATAACCTCAACCGATCTTTGTGTACGGCGCAAAAATCCAATCATTATTCCAACTATTCCTTTCGCGAGCTTAAGAGCCCTCATTAAGGCATGTAAAACGGGAAAGTCAGAAACTTCGGAAGATTTGGAAACACGTCATAACCACAAACTGATGTACTGTACGACATCTAATGACGCAGATACACATAGTTCACAGAAAACACATCACTTGCGCTCCTTATCTAGCTTTCGGTAGCATACAGTATTAAAATAATTTTTGGTCAACGTTCTACTTTTCCTTCAAGAGTTGGAGCCAGCGATCATGTACAAGAGCATAGCAAAGTATGGAAAAAAATTCGAACTATGGTATCCTCGATCAAGTTGAAATTGCTGCAAAATCGAAGTTTTGCAATCGATGCGAAATTGAAGGGAAATTTTCAAAATAAAAAATAAAATCGAAGCAAGACGGATCGAGAGAAAAGTTGTTCTTAATCGAGACGCTAGTTTTCATGGTTACTTGATGGTTTTTTAAGCGCACCTCCCTCTTGTGCATACAAAAGGATATAGGTACGCCAAGGAGCTGACATCCGTTTTCATTTCAAAAACGCAGCAAAGACTCCCCACATCAATTCATTTGTGCCCGGCTTCGCAGCTTCGACATCTGGGTCAGCGTCCACAAGTTCCCTGACGCGTTTCATCGCGACTTCGTAGTCGTCATCGTTTAAAGGAGCGAAAGCATTTTCCAAAACGTCGCTCGCATGAGCAAGAAAAATCAGGCTCAGTAAACGCCGATCCATACGATGGGGGTCATTGATCCACTTGCTCAGTACGGACTCTTGCACCTGGAAAAAAGGATACAATTTTGGAGCAGTCGTAAAACTCAGAGGTAGATGCTAATGTGAGATAACGAGTCACATACCCAATTGTTTCCCTTCGTTATCAAAGGCTTTATTTTTCTTTAAAAACAATCTTTGAAAATAGGGGTGTGTCATATAATTATAATTAAATTACTTGATTAGCATTTGAAGACGTCTCCAATTTTGAGGCTACTTGAATTCCGATCAACACAATGCCTTGATTAAAGTACGCTTTTATGAACGTATTTATGAACATTGTCGGCATCAGGGTTACTGGTGCTTAACTTGTTAAAAATTATCAAACCCATTTGAAAAGCAGAAGGAAACACTGTGCTGCATCTTGGATGCAGTAAAAATGGATGGTTCTTATGCCGTGCTCAGATTTGCAAGCATTTCTTTCGGTATTTTTTTTTACAAATCTCACAATAGTACATAAGGCACCACATAATCAATAAGCATGCTGGAGGCTGAAGAGTTGCAGCCTAACATGGCCACACTGTTCTGAGGTTACCTACGTCCTATATGACGGCCACTCGCTAATGAGTAAATCATCGGTCTCGTCTTTTTCCCTCTGAAAATTTTACACGTTTTCTGGACCAGTGGATAATTTCAAAATCAGCAGGAAAAATATTCTAGGCTGGCTTAAACGAACGCTATTGTATTGTATACGTTAATAAAAAAAGAGAAAGGCGCATATAAAAATGTGATCGCACCTGTATTCAAATCCTACTTTTCCACTGTACATTTTGTCTTAATGATGCTCACTTCATATAAAGTTGTAAGACAGCAAGACTCGAGATTCTCACCTTCTTTACCAGACGCGTCTTCATGCTATTATCCTGGAGCGGATGAGTGGTCATATCGAACAGCAGGAAATTCTGCTTCTCCGTAGAGCAGACACCCTTTTCCACCAAATTTTTCGCAAGCCGTTCACGAACATTTCTCAATTGGAATCGAAGCTTCAACGGATTCCAAGTTTCACCGCTCAAGTACTCAATCCAAGTTTGAATCGTTTCTGGAGGGGATGTGTCTTTCATGTGTTTCAAGGCCTCGTCAAGGAGAACGTCCCCAGTGAGAGCTTCATTCTTGACTATGATTTTTCTGTTCAGAAGACTTCGACGGCGCAGCCCTGCCTTTTCAAGTTCAATTCTTCCGCGAAGGCTGAGCTCGATCAAGATGCAGCCACGAAGTCCCGATGAAATACAGTCGTTCCAGAAAGACGTATATCCCTATGAGAAAAAAAATAGACATGATGATGCATCTGAAAAATAAGCAGAAAAAGGCGCCCGGACGAAAGGATCAAGAATCAATCGTTCGACTAGATCACACTTGGCTTCCTTCAAAACATTTGTCCTCTCTAGTACAGTATCACATGATTTGACTACATATTGCTGAATATTCGATCAATCGCAACTTACAAGCAAACATTCCGTACAGACCATTCCTGATTTGAAAATCGTGTGATAGTAGACAAACGAAAATGGACACCAGAGGAAACACACATCCGATCTATAAAATAGGTGGTCTCTCGTATTTTTACCCAGTCACATTTCCCGTAGGCGCTCCTCTTAACATCGATTTTCCTCAGGGTGTCAATCTTCTAACATGGGTTCGACAACTTTTGCAAACTTAATTTCAGTTTGACCGTACCTCTTTATCCTTCAAACCCAAAAGCAAGACTTCTTCCATCAGCGTCAGACGTGTTTCCTTCGAATCACCGTCATCTCGTTCATCTGAAACAACGTCCTGATCGTCGCCAGCTTCAGGAGAGAGAGCATTTTCCTTTATCACGTTTCTCCTTTGAACAAGACCTTCACTTCTCTGCATTGCTATTTCCGTCGCACACACAGTGAAAGAACTAGTTCTTACTCCGGAAACACGGTTTTCCGAGCAAATTTTGAGAATCTAGAAAAAGCAAAATCTTACATACGATATTCTCAGTGTACGAAGGAATGCACACGCTTCAGAAGCAACGAAGATCACGACAGTGTCCGGAGTATGACAACAACGTCGACGATCTTCGCGAAAGAGAGCATTTTGACTGATCCTACCACAATCGTCAAGAACCTAATTGTTTCGTTAAAATCTGGAGATAGATCCACTGCTAATAAACTGAATAGGGAAAACTTCAAAGGCGCAAAATCTTGGCTGAAACGAAAAATCCCCGTCTTCTGATAACTCCAATAAAAATGTAATAAAACGCACAATCAGTAAAATCAACGGATACGGTCGAATAGTTGATCGAAGGTCGTTACAATGTCTTCTTTAGGTATGGAAGCCATGGACTTGGTCCTTGGTTGATCAGGCTTCCGAAAAAGAACGGCATCCCAACCAGCGTCCTTCGCTCCATGATAGTCGAGGTTAACGTTGTCCCCTACATGCATCGCATTTCCCGCTTCGAGGGCATAAATTCCAGATGCTCGTAAAGCCTCCGAAAAAATCCTCGGATGGGGTTTTGTTTCCCCAACTTCGTACGACGTTAAAATAAAATCAAACAAGCTTCGTAGCCCTAATCTGTTCAAGATTAGAACTAACCGTGGGTCGAAGTTCGAAATACAACCAACAACAATCCCACTCCCTCGGATCTGAAAGACATTAAATTAGGAAACTGCTTCTATCGTTGCCCATACTAATAAAAGCCTTACCTTCAAGAAAAAAGATTCTGTGCCCTGCTGAACTACCCATGGTTTTTCTGTCGAATAATACTGAAGTAATTCGTCCGCAATGAGACTCAAGACCTTTTCCTCACATTCAGCTCCAGACTTCCGGAGCGTCGTCTTCACAACGTGCGTCCACCACGCTTCCCAATTTCCGACAGAAGAATTTAATCCAAAATTTGGCAGTGTTTCATTGAAAAATTTGAACGCGGCAACGAAGTTCGAGTTAACTATATTCGAGTCCAACGATACTCCATAATGAGCAGCTATTAAGGAGTATTGCATTCCCACAGGCTCACGGAAATGCAGGAGGGTATTCGTTGCATCGAATGTGATGAGCTTCGTGCTTACATTAGCACGGATATTAAATTTCCGAAATGATCGCGGAATTATCTTCTCAGGAATACAAAGCAGCCGAAAAAAATTCATCCGTGCATGAAATAACATCTGGAGAAACCTGTGGATATGGCATCTCTTCACGTCATAATAGAACAAATTGGGTACACATCATCACTTTCACAATCGTTCACACTTTTGCTAAAGATCCTACAATCGGGAGTTATTTCGAGTGCTGTACTTCATAAAAATCACATAAAATAATCCTGGAAAACCTACGCTGACAGTCACAATCATGATTGTTCTCATCTCTTTCCCTGCCTCCGAATAATTGCTCCACAACATGATGCAGCACCAACTTTGAACCAAAAACTTCGAGCTCCTTTCACATGTGTCACACATCTATTTGGGTTACACGCTCCACAGCCCAACTGGATTCCAGGCTTAGCTTCAGAATGGGTGGGGAGAGCAGAATTGAACATGATCTAAGCATGTTGACAGAGATGTCGCTACCCGTTCAAAAACTTTCTTGGACTTATACGACGGACGGTACTGTATTTGAGCTACTCATTGTGCGTGAAGTCAGCAGCATGTAACGTACAGTATTATGTACTTCTTCGACTTACCCTCCCGTTCTAAACATACAGCGCGTAGTGTTGTTGCATATTTCAATATGCTGGACAGCACGTGTTTAATTATTTTCAATAAATTTCCTTCATGATCAGTGTAGTTCAAACGGTTCAAATCACCCCTTCTTCCTCACGCCATATTAGCGCCAAGTACTATAGATCAGACCTGAGTGATTACTTTTTTTTATAGGCTCTTTGATATTTTGCATCAACGCTTACGCGCAGCTCTTCCGTCCAACCATAGAATCACGAATGTTCGATTGAAGAGAGAGTCCGGCGATGACGCGAGAAGTCGGTACGACTTTCTCAGCAGGACTTCAGCTGCTGCTGCTTGAAGGATCCCTAATTCAGAAGTGGCGTGCGACAACCTTGCACAACCCACATGGAATGCTTTCCTTCTGAAGCATTTACAGGAACCGACATACTGTAATTGCGTTGATGAAGTGGCGCGCTGCTAAATTGTTTACGCGACTTGACTGCGTTTCCAAAAATGACTTGACTGTGTATACTTTATAGTTCATACTGTACATAGGGAACTTCATTTCCGTATTGTGTGAATTCGCGACTGTGAAATTACATTTGGTGCTTTTTGAGTACGATTTGCTGTTGGATCTGAGGACTCCACGAAACTTATCATGCATATTTCTGTATCTCTGATTTTGAGAAGCGGAAGAGCAGTTATGTCCGCTCCTTTCTGAATACAAGGTACTCGTAGATTTCTATCATGCTTTTTCATGTAAAATACAGTATCTCTCTTCTAACTTGGCAAAATTAGAATGCTGGTTTGCTTAAAAGCTGCCCACGCACTTGCATTGCGATCGATTTAATTAATCTTTCGCGGGTAAAGAATACAGTATATCCCGAGCCTCGTAATTGTTTGAGACACAGCGTCTTGTTTTCACGAAGGAATCGAATTTTTATTCGATCTCTTTCTATAATGAAGCCCAAAATTGCTTTGCTAAATTTCTCGGTTTATATTCACTTCCCTGAGATCTTCGTCCGAGATCGACGAGAGTACAGTATTCGCGCTGTTTCCTGATATTTTCCTGTCTGCCCCAAAGTTTCTT